TGTGTGTGTGTGTGTGTGTGTGTGTGTGTGTGCGTGTGTGCGTGTGCGTGCGTGCGTGTGTGTGTGTGTTTTATGTTTGTGTCGCGTGTCATATAAGAGAGAACATCATTATATATAATTACAATTTAAATCAACTTTATATCGCGATAATCACATCACCTTTTTACACACATATGCACGCTCCTTGCTCTCCCTTTTCTCTCGCACTCCCGCTTACTCACATTCAGCCTCGCGTTTAAGTAATCAGTCGAGTCGATAAGTTACTATTATTACTCTCTTTCGTAACGTTAGACTTTCTTAAATCGTTTAGCTTTTAAGTATAGCTGCTCTTCAATGGATTCGTGGACGTTGAGGGCGAGATCGCGCACGGATTTACGCGAGAAGATGCGTCCGGGGTCGAGCGGGCTTTTAAATCGACCTTAATTCCGAGCGTTTCGCCTTCTTCACGCGCGCGCACGCCGGCCACTCTCTAATTTATTTTATATATTTATATATATATTTATATTTATATATATATATATGTATGTGTGTACATATGATACATTTATGGGAGATCAGTGGCGCGCAGTGGCCACCGTGCGACGATCCGAAGGGGAGAACGTTATCCCGATCTCTAAAATGCAGGTACATTTGTCGACGTCGTATGTCGAGACACAAGATATCCACACGAAGGCGTCGGCGTCTCGCGTTAATCTCCTTGGGACGCGTCTCTTTCTTTTACACACATGCGATACACATACAAACGTACGCGATGCTCGACGTGGCCTGTTGCATCCCATTCGTAATTACCTCCCTTTATGATTTTTCAATAATTTTCTTTTTCCGATATTACATGGATATGTGTGAAGGGAGATTTCTGACATCTTTAAAAGAATATAATTTTTTAAATCTTGTTATAATTAACTACAGTAAATTTCATTAGACTTAAAAATTTCATTTTTTATTTTTAGTACTCACTTTATGAACCCCGTTCTCTCTTCTACTTGCGACAATTTTAGCGTATAATAAGTTCTCATATTCTCTCTTTCTTTCTTTTTTTTTGTAAGATGTTTTTTAATTTTTTAATATTTTTGTATTTATTTATTCATGGCAAGTTTCATGGTCATTCTAATAAAATAATTACTGCGGAGTTCGCATTTAAAATCGAGTTATACTAGCCCACGTCATGCATTTTAGGGTTAATCCGTTGCGTTGAAGCTTAATGGACTTTGAAAACCTAATGGACTACTTTGCATGCTTAATTTTCACATTTCAACTTGCGATTAGACTTTGTGATTGAGACAATCATGGTATATATTTCCCCGCTGAATCGCGATGAAAAAAATGCTGAAAGAATTCTAAATAAATATTACTATTCGTTGAAAAAATAATCAGTGCACAGATTACCATTATTAATCAGTGAGCGTTCATGTTAAAAAACACGTGTCGCTTTAAAATAAAAATAACAAATATATATCTTCATCTACACTTTACACACATCCATGTGTATGCGAGTGTGCGCGCGTTTATATCCTATAGAGATATAATGTAAAAATCAAGGTAGACAAAGATTATTTGTGAGATCTCGTAAAATCGCTATATGAAAATAACTTTTATTCTGCTCATAATGTTCTTAAACGGATGCACTCACTGATTAAACCGCATATTTTAAGCTCAAACACATCCCGCAGTTTCAACGCAAATGTTTCAAACCCTCTCACTCATTGTTCTTTTACTTCCTCGCAACATGTAAACAATTAATCGAGACCCAATTGCACCAACCCGATTCAACCTGTTCAATAATTTGCTGTACGTTCATAAATTACGATTTTATTTTTAATGCGATGAACATTTCAGCTTATGTTAAGTCCCGTAATCGCATATGTCAATGTATCAGACAAAAATGATTGCCAGGTATTTCCGTTTTAAGAGCATTATGTAGAATCCGATTAATTTTTTAATAGCTAGATTCAGGCCTTTTAATTAATAATCTCCCGACACATGAAATGAGATACTTGAATAAGCAGAATCGATGGTGTCGAAAGTATCTCAAGTTCGAGACGCCGATATCTCCGACTTACATCGTATCAATGCTTACGACGGCAGGACACGCGTCACGACGACCTCGAGCGACGGACGCTATGAGCGATCCGTGCGAATTCGGTACGTCTTCGGTTTAATGTATGCCCGTGGCTATGTATCTCTGTGTGTGTGTGTGTGTGTGTGTGTGTGTGTGTGTGTATCGTGTGTCCAGAGGATAGAAGCACCAGGATGCAGCCGCCCTGTAGCACCGTACGACTTGCGTGCACTCACACTCGCACATGTCTCTTCGTGTAATATAGGCCACGGCAGTCGTATGTATACTGTCTGTTTGTCTGAATGTGCGTCTGTATGGTTGTGTATATTGTTGAATGCATGTAAATGCATGTATATAATATATATAT